CTATAGCCCACCAAAATCGTCAAAAATGGCCCATTTTCGACCAAAAAGTATGGCCTATAGCCCATTCAAAATCATCAAAAAAGGTCCATTTTTTATGAAAATGCTTGGACTATACCCCACGCATTCTTTACCTTCATCTTAATAATTGAGCATRTTTAACGACTTATATTCACATGGCTTGGTATGAATCATTTTTATGGCCTGAGATGGGTTTAATAATAGTCTTTCGTAATCAACAACTGTTTATTAACTTCAAAATTGTTACAAAATCGTTTAATAGGCAATGTGCAGAGCGAGGACTTAAATCTCTTTTATTACTTTTTTGCTATACAAATGGTGTATCCGCGCATTGCCTATTATTTCGAGTCTTTTGGATAAACTTGTCGAAACTATGTCATCTTATTTACTAAATTACCCTATTTCATTTCATGAAAGACTGACCATAAGCCGTTTTATAGGCATAATCAGGAGATAAAACATTGAAAAATAATTTGGAATGATCAGCTTTCAGGATATGAAAATCACTGCTAGGGAAGTTGTAAAGTCGATAATTTAATCAATTTGATACAGTCTAACCTAATCGTTATCAATTTAATAACAGTGCCTTGTCACGGAAGGAACCCGCATACATTGTATGGCGTATTACACTTTTTCCATTTTAGCATAATAAGAATTTAAAAATTTGTAAATTGTCACTATTGATCTGACTGACATGACATTTTATCGGAGATTTAATATTCCTCATTTGGTCACTCTTTCGAGCAAGTATTATTATCTCCTATCTTGCCAAAAAGAKGCCCTAGTCTCCCACGGTATGAAATCTGGTAATTATTTCCTGGAAACGGTTTTTCCTGTTTCGTATATTACAAGTCTTTTACAAATACACCGGTTCTAGGTTGAGCGTTGAACCATGTCATTCGCTTGTTGGTCGTGTTGTTCTGGCCTTAGTCACTGTAGTTTTCAAGTCAATTTTCTTGATTTTAGATTCATCCAATGAATGACTTTCATCATGCGATAATGTTCCTATTTATTGATGACGTCATCTGGCGTTCGSCGACATGCATCATGGGATTGATGAAAGTACAAACAGAAGCCATGTTTTCGTTTTCGTTTTTTGTGGACAAAGAGCATTATTTACCTCTTTAACAAGTCTTTGAGAACAGTATAGTGTGCAAGATCGATCCTATTCAATGTTCTTTCAAAGTAGACAAAGGATTAAGTCATTTTCGCGAAGAAAACTTCGTCCTTCGTTGCTTCATGTAAGCATCCGCCATCTTGAATATTTTCTCGACACCATGATTTACTTCCCCAAAAACATGGCGCCATTAACGGTAAACACCTTTTAAAATCGACACGTGACAGACCATTTAAGACCAGTACACTTGCCGTACTAAAACATATTTACAACTAAGCTGAGAATGTCTTTTTTTCCAATGAAAATTTTCATCAATAAAATCTCTTGTTTCCAAATGCTATCCCAGCAGCCTCTTCGAACTTCTGTTTCCATAGCAATGCCTCGGCATGTTCCTTTGCGAGTACTTCGGCCATTGCGGCACATCGTCTCCAGAGCTTCGCTCTCCGTAATGTCCTTTTTGTGCCTTGTTTTTCAAGTTCATCGGCCATTTTTAATTGGAGAAATTTTGACTCAACTGCGAGGTCGATYTCATTCTGTGGAGGCAATTATATTAAAGTTAGTTAGGTTTTTTTAAAATGTTAAAAATGTTAGGTTTATTTACACGTGCAGTTAGGGCCGAGTTGAGATGGTATAACTGTCACAAAAACGAGCGCTTCACACCATGCTGATTGAAATATGTGCTTCTAAGCGATATGCGACGGGTAAAAGGCGAAGGTATATGCGAGCAACGTCCACAACCTCAAGTTAATGCCTCGCTTTTGAAAAATTTAAACTGGTTTTCTGGATTGGTATCCGCGCGTATTTTCGASAATGGAATGGTGTTTTGCGCGCGGGCAAAGAGCAGAAGAGCTCGAATTGTGTGATTTAGTTCAATCGAGAACTTTTTCTCACCTCAATAACAATTCCCTCTTCTCTGTCTTCGTCCCGTCGTTTCTTGCTGTATGATGATCTTCGCTCTGCTAAGGTCGCCGCTGTATGTTTTCCAAAAGTTCTTTTCTCGAGTCTTTGCCTTTCAGCCTCGTAACCAGACACAAATATCGAGCTATACTTGTAATTAAAAAACACTGGTAACCGCTCCTTCACTGCTGTCAGAGTAGGGACTGGGGGATATAGTAGTTCTGGTGAGCGAGGACGACTTTTGTTCGARGGTGAAGATGGCGATGACGAGGGAGACGAGTAAGAGAGCTCATTGCTGTAGAATAAATCGTCGTCGTCATCGTCGTCGAAGAAAAATCTTGTTCCTTCATCTTCGTCGACCGATTCAATGTTAACTTGTATACAAGAAAGCTCCTATTGGRAAAAAATGGAATGCGAATTACTGGAGGAACAAGAGGCACGCATCTACTTTATCGAGTTTTGGAATCAAACAAATTTTCCTACGCTCTCATTGGTGGAGGGTCAACCACGTGACGAAATAGTGCCCGTCGTAGATACTGGAAAAAATTATGCAAATTTGATGTAAATGATTTACATCATATCACTTTGGATACTTACATCATATTTACATCAAATTTACAACCAGTTTAAAGTGCGCGATCTTTTCCAACTTTTCCCTATAGAGGGGTACTATCAGTTCCGTCGCTTCAGAAAATTTTGTTGTCGAATAATAAAAACGGGGACAAGCGAGAGGGTCACGAGATACTCACGGGCTCTGAAGGTTAAYAGGAAGGGAGATCAAAGAGCGCAATTGCTAGGATACTTGAACTAAAAATACAAACTATAAAAACAGATACCTTTTCCGCTTCTCTATGAAGCTCCCTTTGTGTYCCTACTGGTACCATTCCATCTTTCGTCGCTCCTGAAAACAGATGAAGTTAATATTAAAACATTTTCTACCTGATAATATGATTAAATAAAATTGTGCAATTTGATTGCCTTAGAGGAGTGGTATTTATCCTTAATAGTGGTATTTCAAACTGCACAATTTTATTCAACCATTTTATAAACAAATAATAGCATGTTTTGTAGTGGTATTTGGGATAAATACCACTTGTGATATTTCAAAATTGTCACAAATTGTCGACAATTTTCAAATATSACGCGTTGTATTTATCCCAAATACCACTACAAAACATCACTGGAAAAAAATCGCGCACCATAAAGGATGTAAATTTGATGGAAATATGATGTAAGTGTCCAAAATGATGTAAATTTGATGGAAATCATTTACATCAAATTTACATCATTGTGGACACTTACATCATATATACATCAAATTTACAACCTTTATAGCGCGCGATTTTTTCCAGTGCATGCTATTACATATACTAATATATCTTTTTAGTGCTTTCTGTGAGGAGTACAGAATGATAATACTGATGATAATGATAATAATGATAATGATGATGATAACAACTGAATAATGATAGTGATGATAATAATGATAACGATGATGGTGATGATAACGATAATGTTAATGACAATGACAGTGGCAGAAAGGGCGGATCCAGCTGAGATTTTAAGCGTATAGGCTAAATGGTTTTAGGGGGAATAAATGGGCTTTATTTGTTATAAACAACGTTGAAAATAATAAAACAGTTTACCTTTTATGCTCAAAGGAGGGGCTATACCCCCTTTGCCCCTGCCTGGATCCGCCCTTGAACAGTGACAGTGACTATAATAGAGTCAATTTCGGGAAACGTACGGTAGAAATTACCGCACGGTTACCGCACAGTTACCGGACCTGGCCTGCACAATTTTTGTGAACCAATGAGACACTAGAATTTGGTTACAGTACGATTACGGTTACAGTACAGTACCGTCCGTTTCCCACTCATACGAAATAGTCTTCTTCACGGTTCCCTGCGCCATCTTGAAAGGTAGCCGTGCCTTTGCATCGAAGCGAGACGACCGTTGAGCGTGCAATGATAGAAACCTTCTTCACACCTACAGACAATAATTCAAAGGTTTCTATCATTGCACGCTCAAYGGTTGTCTCGCTTCGATGYAAAKGCACGGCTACCTTTCAAGATGGCGCACGTAACCGTGAAGGAGACTATTGACTCTAATGATAACAAAATAAACGTACCGTACACAGCACAAAGTGCCGGAGCAAGAATACATGATAAAGCAGGCTTTAAAGCAGGCTCGTTCCAATCAGGAGCTTTAAAAATGTCTTCTAATGCATCTAATTCCCCCTGGTTRTCATACGACCATCTGAAATGAAACAACTTCAGCATCAATGCTTCACTCCTTGATGACGTCATGTTGGTTGGGCGAGGTGCATTRTGGTACTAATRTAACAAATCAAAATGGCGGATGCTTTAGGAAAACTACGAAGAGTCTTACTGATAACCTTAAAGAAAATTCAAACTTTCTTGATAATTAATAATAATAATAACAGTTTATTTAATTCATTTGTAGTTTTAGAAACTAAATTACAGAATTAAGCTCTAAAATACATATAAAATGTGTAAGATATAGTACACATTTTATATGTATTTTAGAGCTTAATTCTGACTTCTTAATTCTCTGACTTCTTCCTTGTGGTTGGAACTTTTATATGAAATCCAACCTGGCTTATGACCGTTACATTATGTGATAATTTCTCCAGTTGTATCAGAAGTACGTGCAAGGTGTAACACCTTTCGGCAAGCGTGTCAACATGAATAACTTTTTCCGTTTTTTTAATTAAACTATGTTGACATTTTACCCAATTATTACTTCGTTGTCAGAGCTATTTACAAGATCTTGAAAATAATCCATAAATTGAGATTTTTAAACATGGTTTATCAAATATCTGTGTTAGTATTATGGTCCCAGGTTYTTCCGTTACAAAAAGTAGTTTGTGTTCCGTCCCACACAATGTTTTCATAGCTATTTGGGTATATCATAATATTTCTATCGTTCTCCTTGTTTAAAGGATTTCAAAACAATTCAGTTAAAAAGCAAATAACCACATTAGCGCTTTGAGCACAATCTTGGATGTTGTTTTTATATTTCGAAACTACTAACTTGTTCATTGTACTTTTAACTTTCCAGTTTTGCAATCAAATTTAACATTGGACACTAAAGTCACCGATGATATCAAGATTTTTCACTATTCGACCCTTTTGTTTAAACTACAGATAACATCATATTATTTATACATTATGGAATAATGTACACTATATTTCCTCACCTGAATGGCATTGTTGAATACGGAGATTACGGATAAAAGCGACTTCCAATGAGCCCAAAGTGTGCTGTTTAACACACACCGCAAAGAAACTTATTCAGTAACCTTTCTAGAAACGCGTTCTCACACGACAATCACGAGTCTAGACCACAATCCAGAGAACTCTTAAAAGCAGACAGCATTTCCACTTTGGTATTTTAAAAACCATACGCATTTGTAATGCAAAGACCGTCTTCGTTCAACGTCACAGCTACGAATATCGAACCCATATTATCGATCTAGAAACTTCTACATGAAAATTAAAAAAAATTGTCTTCCTGATGTGTGCTTTGATTTCTTTTCTACTAGGTGAATCTAGATGGCTGATACCAATCGATACCTATGTTGGTAAGTTTAGAGATTAATTTACACAGTAGAACCAAGGTCGCTAGCTACGTTTTGATACTAATCTATATATATATATATATTTAGATGCCAAGGCAACCGCTAGGATCACAACAAAACGCAATTTATATTCTGATTAATAATAACCGTGGTTTAATCACGTAGGAGCAATTACTTTTTTATTATAGTCGTGATTTCTCATTGTTGTTAAACACAGGGTTTTCTATTGATGCAAGACTCGTTATACGTTTAAACCGGCTTGCAAAGTGAAAAAAAAAGAAAAAAAGAAAAAAAAAATACTCTGATGAATTCAAAAGTTTCTTGTGAATAACTTACAAAAATATTGTCAAAAATATCGACTCACTAAGTTATAAATGCATATAAAACGATAAAAAAAACTTGCAAACAAAACAGAAACATTTATTGCTATTTTGATTAAAAATACAAAATGAAAATCAMATGAAAACAAGTCTATACAATTTAAAATTTTCAATTCCAAAATAGCCGCTTCCGTAGTTTCATACCGAAAGAGATTATCCCAACCAGGCATTTCATATTGTTTCATTCGTATTGTAAAATAATAATTATTTCCGGATAGAAAGGTTTTCACAAAAAAAAAAAACGAGAACGAATTGGTTCATCGCTTACCCACAATTCCATTTCATCTTAAAATCCGCTGACCACAATCATAGCGGGCGCTATTTGGATTGTAATATTCCTAAGTACTAAGTAATTACATCCTTGCCTCCCGGGCAGAAAACCGCTTATTTTTAGACCCGATTGAGTGACTTTACATATCTCCCRGAGTGCGGTTCTAAACCTGACACCGCCGGAAATGGAACGCCGGATTTCGAGCCGTTTAATTCTAAAAAAAAGTTGAAATCGTACACTTTTTTACTACCGTTATCAATTAATGTCTGTTCCGAAGTGCTTTTCTGTGTTAGTTCTAGTTGGATAAATAGTTTAGAGTGTAATCTAGTATACATAGACTTTATTTTTTGTCGAGTATAGTTTAAATAGCGAAATGTTACATTGGCCCGAGTTTATACAAATTTCTCTTCAATCTTTCGACTAGTTTTGCTTCATCTTTATATTGTATTTGACATGTATGAGGCTGTGTTTACACACATGCGAACAGTTTATTCATTTTATGTTTGTTTGTAAGAAAAAGCTCACCGTCAACTAAATTTTCAAAATATTCAGGCACAACTGTCGTTCTTACGTTGCTTCGTTTGAAAGATAGCTCTAAATGATATGCTGTTTCTAAAATCTCTGTATGTTATCTCTACAAAGCCCGAGAAGTATTTGGTATTGCAGTGAGACCGGAACAGATCTGAACAATGAAATCCAAAATGGCGGTCGTATTCMATAAAAGACTTGATTGCCGTCACATTGATAAAAAACGTGCTCAAAACGCGTCGAATCACACAACAACAGTAAGCTTACGTAAAAAACAAACACACATTTATAAACATTTAAAGAAAGTCAATTCAAATCTCCTCGCTGACGTCTTATGCATGTTGTTTACACAGATTTCGTGGCTATCACACGCTTGGACAGATATGGCCGCCATATTGAGATTTAAAGCTCTTTAGAGGAAATTAGAGAGCGCTTTTTGAATGTTTATTTTCTATATTACACTACTATATGTAAATCTAGAGCTAGAATCGTCAATTAAAAGGCTACGGAGATTGTCCGGATGCTAACCACAGCTAAGTGTTGTTTAATTGCGAGTAAAGTGATTTTCAACGATACTTTAGACAATAAATGCTAAAAACAAGAAATAAATTCAATGTTTTGAAGGTTTATGTTGATAAAAATGTTATTCTTTTGATAAACTAAAGCAGGGACGGAAATTTTTTGGAAAAAAAAAATTAGAAAAATAATAGGGCAACTCTGCTTGATTTTTTTTCTTAAAAATGAAAAGACATTTAAAGTTAAAGAGCGGAAAGCGCTGATTTTGGATAAGTAATGGCCCTGAAAAACAACGGTTGCACTGGTTAAAGCCTTTTCGAAGGAGTAAGAACTTTTTTTCTTAAAGCCTCCACACCAATTGTTATTTTTTAAGGCTTTTCAGTTTCAACTATTTCTATACTTTTTTTATCTTTTTCTTGATTTCTTATTTCATCATTCATTTTTTATTATTTATCTCAATTTCTTCAGCTCTTATTCTCTCTTCTTTTTTACTTATTTTCTTTCTCATTTTTTCTTTCCCTTTCAATTTCTCCCTTTCTTTCTCTTTCCTTTCTTGCAAAAAGGTTCTTAAAACTGGACCAGCTTCCTAATCCTTAATCACAAACTAAATATTCTACATCATGTGTTAATTTAAATGTAAGTCATTAAAACCGAGCGATTACCGCCTATAGGAAAAATTTTTACAGTCGTAGAAAAGTGAATTTCAATTCACACGAACCAGTTTTCYTTCATACTTTCTCCATGATGTAAAACATTTTTTTTATCAGTATAATGAATATACTTTGTTTATTTTCCTATGYAGAATTTTCCATGTTTACCGTGCACGTTTGATCGGCGTTATCATGTCTTTATCAGCGGATTATCGCCGCAGTTTTATACCATATTGTCATTARAGCGATTCTGGGGCCATTTCCATGTGATTATKAACGATATTGACGCTTTCACATGAAGTACGATCTATAAGAACTTACGTACTAACTTAGCGTTCAAAACAATGCAAAACACAAATTTATYAACGACATTGAATTCTTAAGTGGTTTTGAAAAATATTTGTGCTCTCTTTTTCACGAAAAAACTTAACGCTCCATTCAAACAGAAACACATCTATATTCATAACACTTCAGACGGAATGAAAAGTTCAAAATGTMTGATTTGAATTCTAAAGATGCTTTATACTTTTAGCGCTCTAATATTCATGTCGAAAAGATTTCCAAAAGAAGGCAAAAAGATAGCTATTTTCAAAGTGATTTTGATAAAAAGAAATATTTCAAATTATCGGATTTGAGTTCTAAAAAGGTTTTGCACTCTTTTCACGTAATTATTTAAGATATATATATCGAGTTTTCAAGTACTTTCGAGGTATACATCCTACGTAAAAACTTACAATAAACAGACACTACAACGCAAAATCGATCTCATTTTCAATCCTGATATATTACTAGTCAAATTTGAATTCCAAAAATAACTTTAAAATACTATTTTTCAAGGAAATTTTACTTTTCGTTGCTCGCTACAAACATAAGACTGATTTGCGACACCATTTCCAAAAAATAAAAACTGAAAAAAAACTTAATTTTGAATTAAAATCACAAAATACATAATGCGAGATTAATAAATTCTCTCAAAGACTACAAAAGATTTATATTCTCTCTAAAAATCGTCCTTTATCAMAGTAAAGTACACAATTTCTTGAATCTGATTTCTATATTACCTGTCAGGCTGATGGACCATGTTTCTAGCTCGCTTTCCGCGCGGCACGGTGCTAAATAATCACGTTTTCCAAGCCCTACAACTTCTTGTCTTGACTATTTTGCGCACAAAGTAGTTTTTTCTCATTAGTTTTGATATTTTTTCATTCATGAGTTAAGCCTTTGCCATCGCTGAGGAAACATTAGGCGTCTTTTATAAGAGAACTTATTTTGAAGATGGCTATGACGTCATGGAAAATTCTAATGAAGACATCAAATTTCCGTAGTTGGATTGACGGATGTCTCCTTTGACAACCAATTATTGAAGCCATCGCCAAATGCATTCGCAGTTTAACGCAATTATGTGTTGAAATTTCATTGATTTTGAATTCAACTTCTTCGTCAAAACAAATCATTTCCTCGACCTGTGAATTTTCTTGAAAACAAATCCAACATGGCGGCGAATCTCCAAGYTGCCGTCACTTACATTTCTAAGAAATTAGATCTCTGAATGAGATTTACTTTTGTAATTCAACCGCTAAAAGTAAGACTTCTTTATATGATTACGTTTCGGAAAAAAATCAGGCCAAAGTAAAGGTTTTTTAATTGACAGCAACGCTTGAAAGGAAAACAACAGCTTTCTTAAACTATTAGCTATTTCGCTAAAAGGATACAAATATCTAAATGTGGGAACCTAGAATGGTTTTCGCTYCTGTTTTCTTTTGAGCTTTAATCCTTTCTGATTCCTAATAGATTAATATATTCTTTTAAGCATTCAAAAATTCAGGGGAAATTGCAATAAAAATAGAAATAGGCGCGTGCGCTGTAATATTTGCTCTTACTCAAACACTAAACCACTTCATGCGCCAAAAAAAACCACTAGTCTCACTATAGTAAAGGTGACTCAATTCAAACAGAAAAAAACAGAGTTCCTGACAGTTTTTTTCCTCCTTAAGTTCCTGTTTCAAACGTGGAAGCGACAATATTTTCAATGCAGTGTTTATCACAATATCTGCTAACAGATTYGCCGATATCATTTCACATGCGTAGGCCAAAAGACGGAAGCAGTGGCAGCAACGGGGAACTACAGACCGTTTATCCATCCAAATAATGGGAATTAAGGAATCTAAATCATTAACAGCAAAGTGAAATGGTGTTTGGCTATAAATTTGACATGACATTCGTTCGGGGAGTAAAAATTAAAGCACTTTTAGTGCCAACAGCACACATATAAAAGCTGTAATTTACTAGAACTTGTAATTCAATTAGGGATATACACATCATTCCTGCCGGGTCTTAGATAATACTMCGATGAAAATAATAATTATCATATTGTCATAACTCTCGTACTAATACTAAATTTTAATTGACAAAATATCATAATAAAAGAGAATGCAATAGATTCGCGAAAACATTACGAGACTAAAATACCTTCCTCTAACGTCACTGCATTCTTTCGACTTATGTCACTATTTAACTTTGGCTATTTGATTTCTTTCACTGAGTCAATGTCTTAATTCGAGCAGTTTAACTTGTAAATAGGAAAATGACAGCTATTATTACCATTTATTACCATTATTATCGTTATTATTATTTTGTCATTTGAAATTTTGTATAACTATCGCTATTATTACAACTGAGACCAAACCGCTTTTAATAGTGAAACAGTAAGTATACTGCTAGTTTTATCAAATCTTATTTTGACAATTATGCTTTGATAAAAATGGACTTTTGCATCGCTAAATATTAATTCATATTTCACGGCTTATGTGCAACAACTCTCATCAAGAATGAAATTCATATTGCTAAAAGATTTTTTCAGCTGTTGTTGCTAGCTGCCTTTTAGTACCATTACTGAACTTGAATCTAAAAATAACCCAATAGTATTCACTGTAATACTTAAAGTAATGACGCAAGACAATACAAGTCTGATATCACTTAGAGTAGAGTAACTGGTGTTTACAATGTACGACATTGAACACGGCGTCTGACA